CTCCCTGCCGCCCCTCTACTCCCTGCCGCCCCTCTACTCCCTGCCGCCCCTCTACTCCCCGCCGCCCCTCTATTCCCTGCCGCCCCTCTACTCCCTGCCGCCCCTCTACTCCCTGCCGCCCCTCTACTCCCTGCTGCCCCAAGGCCGTGCCTCGGTTGGCCTCGTGGGAAATCCGTCCCTGCACATAGCCATGCGTCGCGCCAATTCTGAGACACATGCCACTTCGCCATTTACTGAGGGCTCTTGAGGAGTACAGGGGCAGGGTGCTGTGATGTTTAATGTTTGTACAGCCCCCCGCCTGCCCCTCCCACCAGCCATGATCTGCCTGCATTGCATAGAGAGGCACAGAAAGCCATTTGGCTCTTTGCAGCGCGCTAGGAAAGTCCTGAATTTTCTATGAACTGTCACGGGGGGCCGAGAGATACAATTCCGGAGCAGCAGAGACCATGGAACGGGTGTGTGCCGGGCAGGCAGGAGAGGTAAGCGTTTCATTCACAGTGAAGGGCAGCGCAGAGGTAAGTGCACCTTACAATGACCTCGTCCATCTCTGAAACATTTACAGAAGACCAACGGACCTTTACCGGAGCGCTGACAGACTTGACAAGGAGCCCACGTACATCAGAGGGAACGTGATCATCATAAATACAACAGTAACAATGACTGTGTCAAAACGTTTAACCCTTTCGCTGCCAAGGACGTACGGCGTACGGAGCTACAAAAGTGCTTCCAGCTGGCCAGCTCAGTATGCCGTACGGACCTGGCATTTACAGTTCTACTATAAGTTGATGGTCGCTTTGCTTACACTCCCTCCTGTGCCCTATAGAGATGCCTGGACCGGAGTGACGTCACATTCTGGCCCCCGGCACCTCTACAGGGCACACAAGGGAGCTGTACAAGCAACGCACATATGGATGGAGCTCCGTCACAGCACAGCAGCCCACCCTGGACCCCAGCCTGAGGATCCGCTCCAGTTCTGGTAAGGTAGGAAACTGGGGGGGATTAAAAAAAAATTTGGAGTGTGTATGTGAGATTGTGGTTGTGTGTGCGTTGTGTGTTTTTGAGCAGTGCGTTCACATTAGTACAGCGCATTAATGGCACAGTCCTGTGCGAATCGCACCAACCGCGCGTTCTGGCGCAGGAGGCGCGGCGCGTTGCCATTCATTTGAATGGCACTCCAAACGCACCTCCCATCGCCCGCACCGGAACGCGCACTACAGCGACTCGGGTACACGACCTAATGACCAATTTCAAAATGTAGGTCCTGAGGTTACACAGGATGAGGATCACTGATCCTCACAGCGACTACACGAGACGGGGGCCAGATCCCGATGCAGATGGAGAAACCTGCTATGAGCCAATCTTACCGTTCAGCAGCCATGTGACGTCAGGCCGCGGCTCTCCCCGCACAGTGCAGCTCAGGGTGAAGTCCTGTCCCTCCATCACTGTGCGGCCCTCCAAAACCTGATCAAAGCGGGGGCCAAACGGCTCCTGCTGGGACCCTGAAAAAGAACAAATAAAGGGCTGCAGTGTGTGTGGATAGTACATACTGATGAATCCACTCTAGTACACATCAATATCACCGGCCTCCCCTGTGTTCCTGGGACCCTCCCCTGTTCTATAATACACCTTCCCCCAACAGGGCACCTGAGAGCCTATAACTTGGGCATCACCCCCCATTCAACATGAACACCTGGGCACGGCATTCAGGGGTCTTCCCTTCCTGTCCATACACCTGGTCAGCCCCCCTCTCATCTACAGAGCCAAGAACTTTCCAATCTCCTCTATGCACAACTATCAATTTGGCCCATGAACCCCGATATCAGCCCTCTCTACATACCTGGGTACCCCCCCTCATTCCCTCATCTACATATCCAAGAACCTCTCAATGTTATCTAAACTATGGCGGCCTGCCCAGGTACCACCTATCCTCGCTTATCTCGACACCTACCCTTTGTGTGGGAACCCACCCCCCGGTCTACAAACCCAGATACCAAACTTCTATATACGTGGGCACCTCTCCATCTCATCCACATGTCCAAGGACCTTTCAATGTCATCTAAACTATGACCACCTACCCATCTGATCTACAAGCCCAAGTAACACCTCTCCTTCCGTATCTGGGTACCTACACTTTGTGTCTATACCTCCAGGACCCCCCCCCCCCCCCCCCCCCCCC